TCTTCGACCCCGTCCTTTTTCCTGTCGTCGGCCCCATTTTCATCGAAGTCGATTATGCTCGAGATTAGAACTTCGTTTGTCAACGAGAACACTTGTCCTTTCTTCTCGAGATGATCGCTCACGACCTTTGCAATCACGTCGCTGTCGAATCCGAATTCGGTGACAAAATTAATCTTGGAAATCAGGGTTTCCTTCGTCTTGCGCCGCAACCACAAGCACGAACTCCCGTGTTCGGCGTGTTCAGAAAGAGGAAGGTCGTCCGGCTCCCATCGGCACAGCGATATTCCGCAGAAGAAACACCTGGCGTTATCTTCGAAACCGCAGTAGAAGAACCCCGCATCCGACATCGTTGCGAAAGGTTTTCACTCTGTCTTCCTCGTCTTCAAATTTTGGAAAGGTAGCGGTTCTCTGCATAATTTCTTTTTGCATTACCTACTGATAATAGACTGATTTCGAATGAAGACAAATATGCACATTAGCAACTTTATATTGTTTTTTGTAATAAAGACTTTATTGAAGACAAAACAGAATATAAGATTTCGTGTTTTTCTTTTTTCTTTAGTACTTATTATATCGGAACATTTTTTTTTTAATTCTATTCCGAAGACGGGTTGTACTTCAACATTTTCGAGAACAGCCAGTCGTCCAGTTGCTGTTCCAGTTCTTCGTCTCCGTAAACGACCGTGTCTTTGTCGGAAATGTCCTGTTCGTCCGACGATTCGACTGGAAGCTGAGAATCCTCCGGAAAGTAGTCGGCGAGGTTTCCTTCTCCGGCTGTTCGTTCGTCGTCGACGGGAAGTTGAGAGTCCTCGGGAAAGGATTCCGTTAGGTTTCCTTTGCCATCTGCGTTCTCAGCTTCTCTTCGTTTGTCGCCGACGCCAACAGTTTGGGAGGTGTTTGCGTCGTCGTCGTCTTCGTCGTCGAACTTAATCCTTTTGGTATAAGGAGCATCCGACTGAAGAAAAACAATCAAAAAATAAAAATAAAAATAAAGGTAAAATAACATCACGTCACACGTTACGTCCTCTTTGAAAAATGACGTCCTGATCCTTGTCGCTCGAATCGTCGTCGTCGTGGTCGTCGTTGGCTTCGTCCTTCTCGCCTCGTTTGTTGCCGGATCGCAACAACCTGACCCCTTTCCTCGAAAGCAGGAAACTCTGGAGAACGACCACGACGCAGAACCTGATGGCCTGCGAGGCGGTGAGAACGATCGCCCAGTGTCGTCCGACCTTGTTGATCGGACAGTCGGCGGCGTCGATGCTGTTGGCGCTGAGGTCCAGAAGGTTTTCGTAGCAGTCGCCCAAGGACGTATCGCACTCCATCAAGTCCCGACTGTCGAAGGCGCACGGGCCGAGTTTGTAGACGAGCACGTTTCTGACGAGGTCGACGGTGGCGATCGCTACGCTGGCCAGAGACGCCGCCTCCCACACGTCGGAGAGCGATGCGTACCTGGAGATCGCGGCGGCGAACACAAACGCGTGCACCACGTATTCCGAAGACAGAGGGTAGACGATCGCTCCTGCGAACACGTCCACAAGCAGTGTAGCCACGACGATCGGAATGCCCGGGTTTCTGTACCACCCCCAACCGCTGCCGCTACGAAAGCCATCGGACGAATTGGTTATGTGCAGCATCGCCGGTGCTATTCCGGTCGGCATGTACACGAGCGCAAACTGAACGAAGTAGTAGATTGATCCGGCAGTCCCTCCTAGTTCCACGACCGGACATCGACGATGGTCGGCATCCCATTTGAGAGCTTCCGACACGGCTCGTTGACAGGTGCGATCCGTTCCTTCGGCACCGCATTCCCGCAACGGATCCAGATACGATGCCCCGCACGGTCCGATCAGAAATTTCAGGTTTGTGAAGAACGAAATGTTGGCGGACGCGCAGAAACTCAGCCGGCACGTCGATACCAGACTTGATGGCGCTCCGACTTTGACGAACGTCGCGTGCAGGAAGGCGGGCAGGAATATCGCGTACCAATCGACGATCGGATGCACGTTCGCCTGAAGAAGAA